AAAAAAGGGTATACAGATGAATGTCCATTTTGTATCTGTGTATTCAAAATGGTTAGGATAGATATATAGTTACATTCTCTTAATGAACAGAATGATTTGCTCTAATGGTGTTTGTAAATAGGATATTATGTCCGCATCTTGTACAGCAATTAACCACTAGGCAGAATGTACGCAATGTGTTAATTATTGAAACTGTCCTACCAATTTGGTTTGAAACTGTCTCATTGCTATTTGTTTATCAATAACATTATGAGAAGAAAAAAATAAAAAATAAATAAAAGAAAGAAAGAAGAAAGAAAGAAAGAAAGAAAGAAAGAAAGAAAGAAAGAAAGAAAGAAAGAAAGAAAGAAAGAAAAACTCAGCCTAGAGGAATGGGATAATTGGTTATTGCCTCATGGTACAGCCAGCAGAAGAACAATCTGCATGGCAAGGAAGCCATTGGGGACATAGAGAAAATGAGAAAAGACACCAAGGTAGGCACAGAATGGGCAGCCACTGACTGTGTGAAGGAGGCAGTGTGGGAGACAGGATGGACACAAGGACTAGAGCTGGGGCCCGGTACGCATAGACCATGGCAGGCTGGCTGTGTCAAGAGGGCTTCAGAAATGCTCCAGCTCTCAGGAAGCTGGAGATCCAGTCTTCAGTCCCACGAGTCCACACTGCTCTCTTCCCCTGCTGTGGCTGAAACTTCCCCAGACACGCCTTCAGCCGGAGGTATGGAAGCACCCTGTGGCACCTGGAGGGGCAGACATCCTACAAGTGACAGCCCTGGAAGTATGTCTCAATCCTCTAGGCTAAGAGCTCACAGACTGTGATCACTGCACCTAGCTTCTGAGCAACATGGAAGCTGCCCCCACTGGAGCTAAGGAATAGCCAGAGCAGGCCAACGACTGGACCGACAATGACAGGGAGCTCCTCAGGCACAGCAGTACAGAGAAATTAGTAGATTTCCTTCAAAGATCATGATGGCCACAAGATCATAAACCCCAGCATCTGAATTAGAAAGCAGATGGGGTCTTCAAAAGTCCCATGGCACACGTTTGATGCCATTTCACAAGACTGGAGCCTCAGCCCACGTAGGACTAGAACACTACTCCCTGGTTTCAGACGCCAAGATACATCTGGTAGTCAGGCACAGACAGAAGACAAAGTCCTCTTTATTTCATGATAACTTCCTCTATTGTGGAACTTTCCACACAAAATAGAGTCCAGCAAACAACAGATTTTATAATGCCATCAAGTGCTGTCCAAATATTGAATTTGTTGATCATTTTCTTTTTCCCACAATAGAACAACCTCTTCTTTGCTTGACACTTTGATGAAAATTCCACATATCCCTTCTTCCACCTGTAGATATTCCACTTCTGTGCCAGAATAATGGCAGCATAACTATAATATGATTGTGAAATCTAAAGACTACTCAATAATAACATGTGTACTCCAGGTCTCCTCAATCTCTCACAAACATCAGGTCTCACTTGTGTTAAGAGTGCTTATTTCATATGGATGTTCCCTACTGTGTAGGAAGATGAAGTGAAGTTTCAAATGGACTTTGCTGCTTGAGTTCTCTGCCTAATGTCACCTGCTAGAGTCCCCAGACTGCTTTCTTAGTTTCTTGCCAGGTAGGATCTCCATAAACTAAGCTGTTAGTCCTGGGAATGTCCTGGTCACAGGCCAGCCCTCAGTCTCACCAACCTGTCCCCTGCTTTGCTCTGCTGCTCCATTTCCTTCAAAATATTTCTTCCATAGAGAGTGTGAAAGCATTCAGGTGAGCCCCAGGGAGGCCCTTCATTTATTAGGAGGGTGAGCTTCTCCAAGGGAAGCATCACGCCCTTGTTGCATCTGTAACGAGTTTTCCCTCCTCTCAGGCAGGACACACAGGTCCAAGGGGGGCTGCGCCCAGCACAGCTGCAGCTGGGGTCAGGGAGGGGCAAGGCCAGGAGGGGTTTTTGCACTAGTGTGTGTCACAGTGTTGGGTTTTTGGTGGAGGCACCAAGCTGACCGTCCTAGGTAAGTGACTCCTTTCCTTCTCCCTTTATACAAGCCTTGATTTGAAAAGCTTTCTGCTGTTTGTGAGACTTTTCTGGATTGACTCTCAGCCTGGGATCAGACTATCTCTGTGCATTTTGGCTGCGGGTGCTGGCTGACCTCTTCTCTCCCTGTTCAGACCTTCATGCTTGCCTTCGCTGGTCATCAGCACTCTGTTCCCCTGACCTCAGATAAAAGGACAGAACAAGATCACTTACTAAGGCTTGTCTGTCTGTCTGTCTGTCTGTCTGTCTGTCTGTCTGTCTGTCTGTCATTCTCTGTCTGATTATCAGACTGCCCCTCATGGTTGGTGGGTATCTCAAAAGTGTACTTTTCTACTCTCCTTCCCTTCTAATGTCTGTCCGAATGATGAGCTTTGTGCAGTGAGTTTTGTGATGGTATAGATATGTGAGGTCCTAACATAGACAGATGGGAGAAAAGAGGCCCTGAGGCTTATGAAAACTGGGGAACTTAGAGCGACCTAGAACGCTAAGGGCTGAGGTTATGACACCGCAGGTCAGAGGCCCCAATCATATCCTTGTAGTGGCTACTTACAATTCAAGACCGAGACCAAGATAAGAGGTAGAAGTGATCCCCAAGCCACCATGGGCATCAGATCTCTCAGCCAAACTGAGACTTTAGAAATTTAGAAGATAAAGGGTGAAACCTCTGGGCCACGGAGCCAAGTTAGGGGGTGATTAAGGTCTACAGTGCAGAACTGAGTTCTTGGGTCTCTGGGACATCTGCTTCTCAGAAGAGCCAGGCCCTGAGTTCATAGATGATCAGGCCCAAGGCAGCCAATGCACAGGTCTGCTATTTTAGTGGCTTTAGAGACAACCTGTTCACAGAGCAGATACCATGTATATGGGGAAATTGTGCCATGTTGCAGGCCAGGCCTGGGGTGAAGCTCTTGAGTTAAGGGCAAATTATACACTCAGACTCCAGAGAGCAGGAAGGACAGGTCACAGACTGCACTGCTCACAGCCTGGTAACTGAGGCTGAACACGCTGCAGAAGGCAGATAGTAGTTGGGAAATCCAAGGGAGGCTACATGAAAAAGGGTTCTAGAAAAACTCAAGGCCAGTAGCTACCTAACAGGCTTCAGTAATCCATAGGGAAGGTGGTGAAGATGTACAAGAGTGTCATAACAGGATCAATCAGATGACTTTGTGCAGGAGGATCCAAAGCCCCCACCTCAGCTCTGCTCAATCCTGTCCCTCTTGTGTTGGCCCAGGTCAGCCCAAGTCTGCACCCGCAGTCACCCTCTTCCCGCCCTCCCCTGAGGAGCTCCAGAACAACAAGGCCACGCTGGTGTGTCTGATGAATAACTTCTACCCGGGCGCTGTGACCGTCAACTGGAAGGCTGATGGCACCACTGTCACCCAAGGCGTGGAGACCACGCAGCCCTCCAAACAGAGTGACAACAAATACATGGCCAGCAGCTACCTGAGCATGACGCCTGCACAGTGGAGATCTCACCAGAGAGTCACCTGCGAGGTCACGCACGATGGCAGCACTGTGGAGAAGAGTGTGGCCCCTGCAGAGTGTCCCTAGGACCTTGCTGGGCACCCTATCCTCAGGGACCTGAAGTACAAGGACTCGGAGGAAGAGCCTCCTGTCCCACCTCACCTGCTCCTGACTTTCCTTTGATCCCCTTATTGCTCAATAAACCACTCTTTCTCGATCAGAAGTTCTGTTTTGTCTCCTTGTTTTCATCCATTATTTCATTGGCAAACATCTTAGGTTCTCCAGCAGGAAACTGTTTGGAATTTAAGCACTGCATGGTGTATTGCCCATGAAAGTTTTGAACTGGTCAAACTTTGCTATACTTGTCCGCTGATGCATGTGCTCACCAAACTCACACCAGGTGTTTCTCATGTTCTCCTCAATTCTGATATCCTCAACAGAGACCCAATCACATTATCATGCACCACTTCCATGGTACCATGGGTAACCTGCCCTGAGGGTTCCCTGCTCAGCTGCAGGGGCAGTTCCACTCCAGGATGTAGCATCGTCGTTATTCCATCCATCCCATTCCTCCGCTGAGTTCCCTAGCTGGTGGGACTGGGATCCAGCACAGTTAGCTGTCTCTGCAGAGTGGCCCTGCTAGGGAAAGAAAGGGAACCAGCAAGAAGAGAGGGAGCTGGGCATTGCAGAGAAATGAAGGAAGGCTCAAGAAACCAGCAGCAGGCTAGAGGCAGAAAGGAGGACAGAAAAAGGCATTTGAATCCAAGCAAAGGTTTATGCAGAGACAAGGGCTTTGCTTTTGGGTTATGTCCAACAGATCTATCCAAAGATCACTGATCAGCAGAGAGGTGCAAAGTTTCCCACCTTCAGGGAGCCATGAGAAGGCATGGCAAATGCAAGCCTCAAGTGCTTTGCTCAGGCTCTCACAGGGCCTGCTATCTCAGTGGAGATGCAGACAGGTTCTGCATGGCAGGGTGATTGTGTCAAGGGGGCTTCAGAAATGGTCCAGCTTTCAGGAAGCCCTTGATCCAGGTTGCAGTCACACCAGGCTGCACTCCCCTGCTCCCCTCATGTGCCTGAGACACCCGCAAGTGCATCTTCAGTCTACAGTCAAGACACATACTCTCAGGCTCCTGTGGGGGCTGTGCAGGCCCTGACAGTAGAACTCACTGTGTTTTCAGCTTTTAGCAACATGGTCGCTGTGCCCACTTGGGCTGTGGGACAGCCAGGCCAAGCCAAGGACAGGACTAACAGTGACAGGGCAATCTTCAGTAACAGCAGTGCAGAAAAATCAGTAGGGCTCCTTCAGTGATCCTGATGGCCATAAGGTCACAAACCCCTGCCTCTGAAGCAGAAAGAGATGAAGGTGAAGAAGGTCCCATAGCACCAGTCAGACACCTTCACACAAGTGTGAAGTCCCAGATCACCTAGGACCACACCTCGGCTCCCAGGGATCAGACACCAGGGTCCACCCAGAAATGAGGTACTGACTGGAGACAAAGCCCTCTTTATTTTATGATATGCTTCTGTGTTGGGGAATTTTCAACACAAAATAGATACCAGGGAACAAAAAAGGCTTCAATGATGCCATCAACCACTATCAAAATAATGAATCCATGGGTCATATTAGTTCGCCCACAACAGAATGACCTCTTCTTTACTTGGTATTTTGAAGAAAATTCCACCTATCACTATTTCTAACTATAAATATTCCACTGCTCACCTGAATGAGGACAACATAACTATAATATGATATTCAAACCTAAGATCAACTTGTCAATAGGAACTTGATATACAAATACTCCACATCTCTGCAAATCTTCCAAAAATGGAATATATGTCTTAGTTAGATCAGTTTGCAGTGCTGTTTCTTTCTACGTGTTCCTTTCTGTATCAAAAGATGAAAAGAGGTTTCAACAGGGCTTTGCTGCATGTGTTCTCTGCCTGGTGTCACCTGCTAGAGTCCCCAGAATGCTTTCTTCCTTTCCTGCCAGCTTGGGTCTCCAGAAGCCAAGCTGCTGCTCCTGGAATGTCCAGGGTCACTGGACAGCCTTCAGCCTCACTGAACTGTCCCTGAGTGGTCCTGTCTGCCTCTCCTTCTCCTTCAAAATATTCCCTCCATAGTGAGGATGAAAGGCACAGAGATGAGTCTCAGGGAGGCCCTTCATTTATGAGGAGAGCAGGATTTTCCAAGGGAGGCACCATGCCCTTGAGTCATCTTCAAATGATGTTCCCTTCTGTCATGCAGGACACATAGGTCCCCAAGAGGAGCTGCGCTCAGCACAGCTGCAGCTGGGGGTCAGGGAGGGGCAAGACCAGGAGAGGTTTTTGCACTAGTCTGTGTCACAGTGTTGAGTGTTTTGTGGACAGACCAAGCTGACCGTCCTAGGTAAGTGACGCCTTCTCCTTCTCTTTGACACTACCCATGATTTGAGAAAATCTTCTGTTTTAAGAGCTTTTCTGTGTTAAGTGTCAAGGCTGGCCAGATAGCTCAGTGAACTAAAGTACCTGCTTAGGCAGTTGCAGGGAACGGGGTTCAATCCCTAGCTTGCCATGCCAGCCCTGCCCCCAGGCCATGCTGAGATGTCCATTGAGGATTGAAACTGGGCATGGTGATGTGCGCCTGTAATCCCAGCACTTGGGAGGCTTAAAACAGAAGGATCACTACAAGTTCAATATCTATAGTGAGACCCTGTAGATTCTATACTAGATGCATGAAAAATAAAAAATAATAATAATAATAATAATCCTGTGCTAAGTATCAGCCTGGCATCAGACTTTCTTCTTGCATTTTTGCTGTGGGTGCTGACCTCTTCTCTCCCTGTTCAGATGTTCATGAGCGCCTTAGCTGTCACCAGCCTTCCTTTCCCTCTGACCCCAGATACAGGAACTGAACATGATAACTTACTAAGGCTCATCTATCTGTCTGTCTCTTTCTTTGTCTAATTATCAAGCTGTCTGTCTTGATTGGTGGGTGTCTCAAATGTGCACTTTTCCACTCTCCTTCATTTTCATGTCAGTCTGCCTGATGAGCTTTGTGCAATGAACTTTCTGATGGTGTAGACTGAGGCCCTAACATATGACAAACAGTAGAAAAGGGGCACTGGAGTTTTTGAAAAACTGGAGAATTTAGACAGAGCTAGAACTCTAAGAGCTGAGGCCGTGACACCACAGCTCAGAGGCTCCAGCTATACCCCTGTGGTGGCTGCTTACAATTCAAGGCTGAGACCAAGGTAAGAGGCAGAAGTGATCATCAGCTTCCGTGGCTATCAGATGTCTCAGCCAACAATTCAGACACTTAGAAGAAAAAGGGAAAAACCTCTGGACCAAATGGAGCCAAGTCAGAGGAGATTAACAGCTACAGTAGGAAAGTGAGCTTCTGGGCCCCCGAGACATCTGCTTCTCAGAAAAACCAGGCCCTGAGTTTACAGATGAGCAGGTGCAAGGCATGCAATTCACAGGTCTGACATTTGGAGTGGGTTTAGAGACAACCTGTTCACACAGCAGGCACCAGATGGGGGAAAGTGAAGCACACTGGAGGCCAGGCTTGGGGTGAAGCTCCTGAGCTAAGGGCAAAATTCTAGACACAGACTCCAGAGAGCAGGGCGGACAGATCACAGCCTGCACTGCGCACTGCCAGGAAACTGACCCTGCAGAGGCAACAAAAGAGAGGGAGTAGGCCAGGAAACCCAAGGGAGGCTACTTGGAAAGGAGTTCTGGAAACACCCAATGCTGCCTGCTCTCTAAGGGCCTCGAGTGGTCCATGGGGAAGGGTGTGCAGATATACAAGCTGGTCACTCTAGGATCAGTCAGAATGAGCATGCAAGAGAATCCACAGCACATAACTCACACGATGCTCACTCCCGTCCCCCTTGTGTTGGCCCAGGTCAGCTCAAGTATTCACCTTCAGTCACCCTGTTCCCGCCCTCCCCTGAGGAGCTCTAGGTGAGCAAGGCCACGCTGATGAATAACTTCTACCTGGGCGCTGTGACCGTCAACTGGAAGGCTGATGGCACTACTGTCACCCAAGGTGTGGAGACCACACAGCCCTCCAAACAGAGTGACAACAAATACATGGCCAGAAGCTACCTGACCATGATATTTGCACAGTGGAGATCCAGCTAGAGAGGCAGCTGTGAGGTGACACACAATGGCAGCACTGTGAAGAAGAGTTTGGCCACTGCAGAGTGTCCCTAGGACCCTGTCTGGCACACTATTCTCAAGACTCGGAGGAAGAGCCTCCTGTCTTACCCCACATGCTCCTGACTTTCCCCTTGATCCCATCATTGCTCAATACACCACCCCTTCTTGATCAGAAATTCTCTTTGTCTCCTTGGTTTCATCCCTTATTTCACTGTGAAATACTTCAGGATTCTCCAATGGGAAGGTTGGTACCATTTGGAACATTGCCTGGTACATCCCCCAAGAAAGTGCTCCACTTGACATGCTTTGCTGCAAATCTCCACTGAACCCCTGAGGTACCTGCTATACAAACTCACACCAGGCATGTCTCATGTGCTCCTCAATTCTGATCTCCTCCACAAAGACCTAATTAGGAGCCCTGCAACATTTCCAGTGTTCCATGAGTTACCAGTTACTTTTCCATTCTTGGTGGTTATTGACTGAGTGGAGGGGCAGTTCTACTGTGATGTGTCTGATGAACATCATCTACCTGGGCACCCTGCTTGTGCTGATGGCACCCCTGTCACCCATAGTTTAGGAGACCAGCAGCCCTCCCAATAGAACAATATATGGTATGTGGCCAGCAGCTACCTTAGCTTTCTTGCTGATCACTGGAGATCCCAAGGCAGATTCGGAGGTCTTTTAGTCCCTAAGCCTCTTGCCACTTTTAGCAACAGGAGCTAAATAATTGGGACAGGTATCTGCTGTCCTACCCCAAGCCATTCCAATCCTCTCTGAACTCAGTGAGCGATTGGTAATTTACTCATTGTCCAACATAAACCCTGTTCTGCATCATTGGTTCAATTTTTGTATTTCAACTTCAACCTTCCCTTTTTTTCAGTGTGTGGGGGAAGCAATCCTGACACCCAGTGTGAAATTAACTGCCCCCCATCTGCCTTTGAGCATGACCACAAAGAGGGGATGTCATTACCACCCCCATTTCCCCAATTCTTTACTGTCCCCATTAACCCTTGGGCTTGCAAGCTGGCAAAAATGAGTCTCAAAACCATATATATATA